TCTAAAGGTTTTCTATGGGGTTGAGATCTGGAGAGTGGCTAGGCCCAGCCACGTTTCATCTTCAATGCCCTTACTGATGGAAGGAGGATTGCACTCAAAATCTCACAATACATGGCCCCATTCATTCTGTCCTGTACATGGATCAGTCGTCCTGGTCCCTTTGCGGAGAAACAGCCCCAAAGCATGATGTTGCCACCCCCATGCTTCACAGTAGGTATGGTGTTCTTTGGATGCAACTCAACATTCTCTCTCCTCCAAACACGACGAGTTGTGTTTCTACCAAACAGTTCTATTTTGGTTTCATCTGACCATATGACATTCTCCATGTCCTCTTCTGGATCATCCAAATGCTCTCTAGCAAACTTCAGACGGGCCCGGACATGTACTGGCTTAAGCAGGGGGACACGTCTGGCACTGCAGGATCTGAGTCCCTGGCGGCGTAGTGTGTTACTGATGGTAGCCTTTGTTATGTTGGTCCCAGCTCTCTGCGGGTCCTTCACTAGGTCCCCCCATGTGGTCCTGGGATTTTTGCTCCCGGTTCTTGTGATCATTTTGACCCCACTGAGTAAGATCTTGTGTGGAGCCCCAGATCGAGGGAGATTATCAGTGGTCTTGTATGTCTTCCATTTTCTAATTATTGCTCCCACAGTTGATTTGTTCACACCAAGCTGCTTGCCTATTGCAGATTCAGTCTTCCCAGCCTGGTGCAGGTCTACAATTTTGTTTCTGATGTCCTTCGACAGCTCTTTGGTCTTCACCATAGTGGAGTTTGGAGTGTGACTGTTTGAGGTTGTGGACAGGTGTCTTTTATACTGATAACAAGTTACAGGTCTGTGAGAGCCAGAAATCTTGCTTATTTGTAGGTGACCAAATACTTATTTTCCACCATAATTTGCAAATAAATTCTTTCCAAATCAGCCAATGTGATTGAACTTTTTTTCTCATTTTGTCTCTCATAGTTGAGGTCTACCTATGATGCCAATTACAGGCCTCTCTCATCTTTTTAAGTGGGAGAACTTGCACAATTGGTGGCTGACTAAATACTTTTTTACCCCACTGTATGTCTGTTGTTTATTCAACCATCTATTTTGTTTGGCACCTTCTTTTATATTGGGTGGCACAGTGGCTTAGTGGTTAGCACGTCTGCCTTTCAGTAAATGGGTCATGGATTCGATTCCCGACCATGGTGCCTCCTGCATGGAGTTTGCATGTTCCCCCTGTGCTTGCGTGGGTTTCCTCTGGGTAGTCCGGTTTCCTCCCACACTCAAAAGACATGCTGGTAGGTTAATTGGCCCTAATATGTGTATGTATGAATGTGAATTAGGGACTTTAGATTGTACGCCCCTTGAGGGTTAGGGACTGATGTGAATGTACAATATATACAGTATGTAAAGAGCTGTGTAAATTGACAGCACTATATAAGTACCTGAAATAAATAAATAACACACTTGTCTATTGCATTATTTGTAATTTGAGACACGAAAAATTAAATAAAAAATATTGTATTGAGAATTTTTTTTTAACTACTTGCCAACTACTGCCCGCAGTCAGGCGGGCGAGCCGCAGCTGCTGGGCAAAGCGACATACCCTTATGCCGCTTTCTATTTCGGGGTGTGAACGCGCCTGCGCCCCCTGATGTGTCGGCCCAAGGAGAGAGAAGAGAGAACAACGCAGTGTGAGTAAAAGCACTGCATTTTATACACACGTTAGATTAGCCCATTTAACCCTTTGATCACCCTGTCACCTTGCCAGTGCCATTAGTACAGTGTCAATATATAGACTTTTTCACTGATCACTGTATTACTGCCACTAGCGACATCAGATAGCGTCCGGGTTGGAAAGCTCTCCTCACAGCCAGGGTCAGCTAGTGTTAGATCGCCCGCACACTATTGCACTCTTGTTATAGGTCGCTGATCACCGCCGTTGCTAGTATAGTGTTTGTACGGATCAATATATTGATCATGAATAGAATTTTACTAGTGCCTGCTTAGTATAGTGTCCCCAAAAATGCAGTGTTAGCAGGATCAGCCCCGTTCACTGCCAGTACTAGCATTTACTTCACTGTTTCACTGTTTTTTCATAGAAGATTTGTATCAATTCATTGTGGGCCAAAGCAATTTATACGTACAAGAATACATGGCCGAGCACCCAAATTCAGCTCTTGCCAGATAATTTGCATGGAAACCTATCAGGGTTTCTGGATTTAGAACTTTTTTGGGCCTAACCCTCAACATGGACATTACAAAAAAGAATGAATTGTGGTCCTACTGGTCCATTTTTTTCAGCTGGTGGGTGGCTTTCACGTAAAAGCAATCCTAGCGGCTAATTAACTGCTGGATCATTTTTGCAAGCAGCAGGAAAGGAGTGTTCACACCGCCCCATCCCCACCATCCATGGTTCTCTACTCTCCTTTCTCACGGGAATCCAAGAATTCTGCCGGCTGACCATAGAGCTGATCGGAGACCAGAATTTCTCCAATAATCTCTATGGTCTAAGAAACCAGAAGTGATGAGCATTTCATCATATCTGTTTCGCCGGATATTAACAGCACCATTTTTGACTTGGGAAAGCATCTGATCACACTGATCTTGGTGTGATCAGATTCTTTAAGGGCAGAGGAGAGATCTAGAGTCAAATAGACCCCAAATTTCTCATAAAAGAGTACCTGTTATTGCTATCACAAGGGATATTTACAAAAAAAAAGGGACAGTGTGAAAATAAAAAAAAAACAATCACCCCCGCCCCCCACTTTCACATGCTCGCACACAAAGGTGAACGCAAGTGTTGATCCCATGTCAGTATGTAAACAGAGATTGCACTATGCATGTGAGGTATCACTGCAAACATCAGATTGCAGGCAATCATTCTAGCAATAGACCTGTGTAAACATAAAGTGGTGACCTGTAAAGGCTTTTAAATGTCACCTATCAACATTAAAAATTTATGTAGTTTGTCACCATTGCATGGGCATGCACAATTTCAAAGCATGTCATGTTTAGTTTCTATTTCACATTAAATGCAAAATCCTGCTGTCAGGATTTGAGGCGATCATACGAGGAGACGTTCCCAGGTGCAATGTACTAACGTTCTCTTGTCTTCCCCACACTGGTTGGATCAGGTTGCAGTCATTTCGCCATTTATGTTCTGCTACTTCGCTCACATCTGTTCATTGGAACAATGGAAAGTTGTATTGATAAATGACATTGACCCGCAAGGAGCCAACACAGCTCCGGGTCCCGGGATGGTGCTAGTGACAGCATGGGAGAGGAAGGGACCTCTGGCTACCCATTTAAACTCCATTGGGCACATAAGACCATCTCCCTGAGGGAGGATTACCTACATCCCTGACCAGACCTCTACCTGATAAGGAGACCCTGGATGTGATATTTAATGCGTATATTAATAACGCATCTGGTGAGTGCGTAATTCTACCATACCTCTTGGAGCACCACCGGATTTTAATATTCTTGCACCTTATATCCACACAGACTGTCATTTATATAGGACTTTTTATATATATTACTTATTGCTCTTATTTAATGTGGTTTATTCTATATACTGCCGATTAATGTTTTAAGCGCTGCACTTTTCTATTTTACTGTTTTACGATAAGGTTTTATTTGGTTAGTGTTAGTGAGTGTTCAGCTGCTGTTTGGATAGCACTCACTTTTATATTGCTATATATTAGTTTCTATTTACTTTGCATAACATCATCTTTTATATTTTATCAAACAATTTGGCAATATATTGTGTTTTTGTGCATTACGGTTCAAAAAGGTGTATTTAAAAAAAAAAAAAAAAAAAAAAAAAATAGTGTTTGAAAAATTAGCACACAAATACTGTGTGGCATAAAAAATTGCAACACCCGCCGTTTTATTCTCTAGAGCCTCTGCTTTAAAAAAAATGTATAATGTTTTGGGGTTCAAAGTAATTTTCTAGCAAACAAATGGTTTTTGATGTAAACAAAAAGTGTTAGAAAAGTGGTTCTTCTTCAAGTGGTTAGAAGAGTGGGTGATGTGTAGCATAAGCTTCCAAAGTTGGCCCTGAAATGCCAACTTTGGCATTGAAATGACCTCTTTTTGAAAAGTACACACTCCAAGGTATTTGATAAGGGGCATAGTGAGTATTTTGTTGATCACATTTGTTGCCACGTTTTTGGAAAATGAACAAAACAAAAATGTACTTCTTTATTTTCTTTTTTTATTGTCAAAACCCTGTGACAAAAGTGGTATATGAAAAAAAAATTTTTCAGAGCTAAAGTTCTGACACAGTATAAGACATAGGTCTTCAATCACAACAGATAGGTTATATGGTTCAGGTGATTGGACATGAGCAAAAAAAAAAACCTACGAAGACCTGTGTTTTGCACTGTACTCCAAGAAAATGATTTTACAGGTATTTAACCACTCCCCCACCCCCCTCCCTGACATACCAATATAACTACATAACCATCAGTTATAGACAAAATAGAAACCTATGCAGGTCTCCATCCCTACTGAGCCCCTAATACTTTACTATAATTCCTAGTCTCTCTAACACCAAGATGTTAAAAATCTATCTTTAATTGGTGAAAGCGTTTTTGTATAGGTGCATTGTTACTCTTTGCGTGTGCAGATACTGAATGCTTGTAATACTGAATACACAACATCTCTGGTCAGTTTTCTTCCTATGTACCTAAAGGTGAAATTACAGTGCTAGTTTGCACTATTACAGTAGATGTAGTGTAGTATCTGAACTCTAAATAAAGAATAAAAAAATATAAAGGGCTACTCTATCCATTAAGTTCTAAAACTTATTTAAAATGTGTACATATTAATAGATTTCATCGAAATTAAAAAAAAAATACAGTACTATTTTTATGATCCAGCTGTCTCTTGGGTTTTGATTTCCTTATCCACCCCTGATTAGTACACAACTTTCTTCCAATCTATTATGTAGCCTGTCTTCCTTTTTTTCTATATGTGCCCCCCTCCATTTCACTTTTTTTTTTTCATCTGCAGTTTGAATTCATGTTGGAATCTGTTCTTCTAGCTCGTGACCTGTGGCTAGAAGAGGGTGGAATAATGTGGCCAAGTACTGCATCAGTTCACATGGTTCCGTGCAGTGAAGAGAAGGAATATGCCACCAAAGTTCTCTTCTGGGACTCACTCTATGGCCTTGATTTCAAGATGTTAAAGTATGTGTGACTACATACCTCTAAGATTTTTCCCCACAAATCTTTCTACGCTGTGTATGACTTGCTTGCCATAAACTCACTTAGAACTGGTTGAATAGTTTGTTAACCATTTGCCTCAGGATTTACCCCCTTCCTGACCAGGCCATTTTTAGTGTTATGGCACTGCGTTATTTTAACTGACAATTGCACGGTCATGCAACACTGCACCCAAATTAAATTTATGTCCTTTTTTTCCCACGAATTGAGCTTTTTGTTTCCACGAATTAGATCGCCTGTGCGATTTTTATTTTTTGCGCTAAAAAAAAAAGGCCAACAATTTTGAGAAAAAAAAAAAACAATATTTGTGACATTTTGCTATTAAACATGTCTAGTAAAAAAATTAAAAATCAAATTTCTTCATAAATTTAGGCTAAAATGTATTCTGCTTCATGTCTTTGCTAAAGAAAATCCCAATACGTGTAAATTGGTTTACATAAAAGTTATAGCATTTACAAATGGCGGTATAGATACTGGAATTGTTTTACATTTTTATTAGTAATGGCAGGGATCAGCGACTTATAGCGGGACTAAAGTGGGCATTCTGACACTGGGGGAAACTGAAATTCCCAATTACACTAATACAGTGATCAGTGCTAGAAAAAAGCACTGACACTGTACTAATGGCATTGGACAGGAAGTGGTTAACATGAGGGGCGATCAAAGGGTTAACGGTGTGCTGTTTTACTTGTGTGTGCTACACTATAATCACACTGCTTTGCATGGCTGTACTGTGCACAGCCATGCAAAGCGGTGTGTACGAGCTGACAGGGAGGAGAACTGTATTGTTTACATACACTTCTCCTCCCCGCCGGAGATGCTCTGCAAGTAATTACCGGCTGGGACCCGGTGATTGATAGCCACGGCCGCGAATGGTTCGGCAGATAGGGTGCACATCCCCTACCCGGAAATGCAAAATCATGTATATATACGTGATTTTGCACACCCGTGCCACCCTGTAGCAGTATATCTGCTATAGGGCGGCCGGAAAGCGGTTAAACTACAAGCATGTTTGTGTTAGGCATAATTCACACGGGTGTACCAATCCGACCCCCCCTTTTGAAGGGCCATCTTCCGCTGCCCAGGATGCATTGGTGTTCTATGCAGAAGCATGCAGGCAGCAGTGACTTGCACAGATCCCCACATGCAGTTTGTCTACATCCTGATCTGTGCTGTGCACTGAGGTGCACTCTAAGATGTGTGTGGAGATCTGTGCAGGTCCTTGCATCTGACTGCCTGTGATTCATTTTTAACAGGCTGCCTGCACAACCCTGCATGGAAAAACCTGTGCATCATGGGGGGCTGAAAATGGACCTTTGCATTGACATATGGACAAGTACACCTGTGCGAATGTGGCCTTACCTGCTAAAGCATTCATAATTCTCTACAGTCTTCGCCCTTTGATTGCAGCAATCTGGCCAGCCATCCTCAGCCTGACTTTTGAAATGAGGCATCTGGAACCTGCTGGATTGGATGTTGCAAGGATAGCTTGGAAATTACCTTCAGGCAATGGGTTCCTTGTAGGGCACTTTCCAGACACTCTGCTGGTAATTTAGCTGCAGAACACTTTCCAGGTTTAGAGCCATTTCCATTGTCTCAGCACTTGCTCTTTCTGTGAAGACCCAACTGGTGGGTAGAGTGGTTGGGACCAGCACCAGGAACTAACTCAACTGCAGAGGTCCGCAGGATGCATTTGCAACGTCCTGCTTTCTACTGGTTTTCACAATGGAAATGGTCAACTGTGTGGGACTGAGCACTGATGTAATCTGTACACTTTCTTGCCATACAGTGTTGCGGAAGCATCTTTCTGCTGATCCTGCTCACAAGGAGCCACATGGAACTTTGGTCTGTTTCTGCTGCTTGCATACAGTGACTTTGGTCATTTCTTGCTATCTGACCATTACCTGCTACTAGCTATTTTGGTTTGGTAAGTACCTGAGGACTTGCTTCTTACCTTGTTTCATTACAGCCATGTTGTTGCAACATGTCTGATTCTAAGGAAAGGGTGGTACAGTCCTGGGTGTCCCCAGCTCACACTGTAACAAGATGCTCCTAAAGTGGAATCTGTCTTAAGAGGTTTGTTCAGCTCTGTCTGGTGTGGCCAGCTTCTCTGCCAATTTGGCTGAGGTTTTTACTATAATCGTGTAAGACTTTTTGGCCCAAATTAACCAGTTATTTGCTGACTGTGACCACAGAAGCCACAAGCACACTTATGCACCTTTTGCAAATTCTCCATCTAATTTACCTGTGTCCTAGATGGCTACTGAGCCACTAACCTCTGGGACTCTGTCTTGTTCCGAGTTACTCCAGTCTTTGACTGATGAGCTTTCCCTTGGAGAGTTCACAGTCCACTGTTACTTAAAAATTAAAAGAAACTGTTTTGGTTGTTGTCAAAATAGAGGATTGCTTCTGCACATGCCGTATCCCATCTTGGGACCTTTAAATCTCTCAAGACCACAAAGACCCCTTGCACCCACTTTTCTATTTTCTCCACGCAGATTGTAAACCCCCTGAATCAAACTAATTTTGGTACAATGTTGAATGGCGAAGTAATAGTCGGCTAGCGGTATGACAGGCTTTACTCAAGTAGTTAAGGACCCAGTTGATCTCACTAGTTGTTTGCCCTTCTCTAGAACTCTGTTCTTGCTGGCAGGTTTTGCCTTTCACCCCATCCTGGCTGTGATTTTACTTTGCCAAACCATGACTGACTGGTCAAAATCTATTAAGAGACCTCAGCACTGTTGCAGTTAATCCCTTGATTGTTGATGGCATTTTGTTTAACGTTTTGGACTGTGGAACCTGGGTTTAAGAAACGTTTGATCCACAAGGGCCAACATCTGTTTGCATCTACTCTTGATTCCATTATCAAGGATGTAATTGGCTTCTGCTGAGGAAAATGACTACTCTTGCCACCAAAGGATCAGACTGTTTAACCATTTTGAAATGTTCTTTAAGTTTCTTTACTCCCTCGCATCCACATTGAGGACCCCATTAGCTTGAATTACCCAGTCCCTCCACAAGGTCTGGCACTCAAAAACTTTGCAACATCCTCAGGCATGAAGGTGCCTCCTTCTTTCCAGAGTGCAATACATTTGAAAACTGGGACAGCTTGTATCTCCAACGTTTGGGTGCAAGAGGGCTAAGAATTGGAGTTTGTTCTGTGCCACCTTTATAGTTTCTCACCAAACCAAAGTGTATTTTTCCAGTTCCTGTGGCAGAACGGTTTCAAGGATTTTACTACAACCTGTTCACACTTCCAACATGGGACAGATGACCCCTTTCAGTTTTGGATCTCCGATATCTGAATGTCTCCATTTGAACCCTCAGGTTCTGCATGGAATCTACCCATTCTGTCATCACCTCTTTTCACCAGGAAGCTTTCTGGTTTCTGTGGACATCAAGGATTCATACCAGTATGTCATCTTTCAAGCACCTCTGCGTTTTGTTGTGGAGCCCCTACACTACCAGTTTGTTGCCCTGTCATTTAGCTTCTTGTCCTCACTTCAGGCATTCACCAAGCTGCTAACCCCAATATTAGCCCTCTTGTGGCATCTCCATTATGGCATACGTAAACAACCTATGGTTTATGTAATGTTTAGTGTGGGCTCTGTTGGACAAAGTGGCTTTGGACTGTCCAAATATTACAGGAGTTCATATGGATCCTGAACCTTCAAAAATCTTCACTGGAATTGGCTTATCCTTCGGACTATCTGGATCTAGTCCTGAATACAGCTCAGGCCAGAGTGTTTTTGTCCCATAGAAGAAACTTCAGGCTCTTTAGTGTTAATCCCTTCAATGCAGGAGTCATCCAAGTCTTCACTTTTGTTAGCAAGTTCTCTTTTGTTCCCTTCGGCTGCTAATGCCATGGGCAGATCAGCTATGAATTATGCGAGGAAAGACTGCCCAGTGCCCGAATGTTAGCCCCGCAATCATCTAGTCCAATGAGGTCTGTGTACGGCCTCTAAAGCTATAATTGTGGAAATGCGGATATGAAAAGCTGGGTCTAGAGACCAGCTTAAGCAGCTTGTGGAGGAATCTTGATTAACCACAAGCCTACAGGGCACTTACACCCCCTTCCTGCCCAGGCCAATTTCCAGCTTTCAGTGCTGTTGCACTTTGAATGACAATTGCATGGTCATGCAACACTGTACCCATATAAATTGTTATTTTTTTTTGTGACAGATAGAGCTTTATTTTGGTGGTATTTAATCACCTCTGGGTTTTTTATTTTTTCTTAAACAAACGAAAAACCACTGAAAATTAAAAAACAAAACCGTTTTTTTCTTAGTTTTTGTTATAAAACTTTGTAAATAAGTGATTTTTCTCCTTCACTGATGTGCGCTAATGAGGCTGCAGTGATGGGCACTGATAGGTGGCACTGATGGGCATTGACAGGCATCACTGATGGGCACTGAAAGGCAGCACTTACTGGCACTGTTAGGAGGCACTGACTGGCACTGATAGGTGGCACTGAAAGGCAGCTCGGATGGGCACTAATATGTGGCATTGATGTGCACTGGTAGGCACTGATATGTGGCACTGATGGACACAGAAAGGTGGCACTGCTGGGGCTACACTGATCATCAGTGCTCTGATGATCAGTGTACATGTCCCCTCCGCGGAATGCCGATTACCGGCACTCCTCTCGAGCTGATCACATGACCGAGCTGACATCTTCGGCTCTTTCCGTGGATCGGTGATCCACTGTGTCCGAGGGACACAGCGCACCACCGATCACCGCGCTGCATGCTCCGGGAGCCATGCATGCGCTGTCAGAATGGGAGGACGTCATATGACGTCCTCCCAGAACGAGAGAACCACCTTGCGTTCGTCATATTACTATATGGCGGGCGGGAGGTGGGTAAAGAAAAAATGGCTAGACGTCTGAGAAAGACACCCATCCTCCTAGACACTAAAAAAAAAAAAAAAGCATACAGGGAGTACGAGGGGTTATAATAGGAGGGCCACTACTGTTTTGTATGTCAGTGTCAAAATCT